ATGAGATCAACCGTCTGGACAGGGAAGAAAGTGCTTAAGTGGCTTGAGAGAACTATTCATGTGGCATTTCTAATGGTAAGTGATATCCTCCAACCATAATCTTAATTTCATTGCTAACCTATCCAGCCTGGCAAACTTCAGCCACCAGCAAAGCAAAGGGTTGATAATGCCAGGCTCAATTGTTTTAGATGCCATATAGAAGACACTGTAGCCATACATGTAGAGCAGTAAACCTACCATCATTTAGATGTGGAGCTACCTAGTATTTCCTCTAAACTTGCCTTCCCAACCTGGCATCCTCCAGATGTTTTAAACTACAAATTCCATGTGCCCCATCCAGCATGGTAGTCTGAAACACCGGAAGAGCACTAGGGAGTACTTCTCTAACCCTACAGACCATAAAAAGTTATGCACTCAATCCCAGCAGTTATTTTATTTGTTCAAGGAAAGCTTTTGACAATGTTAAATTTAGGAGACATTCCGTGTGATATAATTCTCCTTTCTTTTTTAGCTGAGCCGTTCTTAAGCAAACACAGTGGCATGTTCTCACAGTCCTTTCATTCAGGTGTTTGGAAAGGAATGGTTTATGCAGATTCTTTAATAAATCAAAGAGACACTTACAGCAATGTGAATTGCTCATTCTAGGTGATTAGTTTTTGTGAATGTCTTTTTAGTCATTAGAAAAGGAGGCCAGAGCGCATGGACTAGTCTCTGTGTACAAATGACTGATGGAATGGAGAGAGATCAGAAACAATATTGTAGACAACAGATGAACACAGAATGTTTAAAAAGCATGGAGGGAGGAGAGAGGCCCTGCTGAAAGATTAAAGAATAGAAAGAAGTACAAATGAGCAAATCAATTATTGTGTGAAGATTTCTAGGATGTTGTTTAATTCATAGTGGTCTGTGCTATATTAGGTTTCCTCACAGTTTCTTCTTTTTTTCAAGTTTCTTTTAGTTCCTTCTCTGGCATCTGATTCTATGGGGCTGAGCATCCTTTGAGGGTAAGTTGTATGAAACAGAGCGGTGAGCCTGTGCATCATTTTCTGAAAGAATTAACTGAGTTCATTTATGCTGTCATATTGATTCCTACGAAGATGCAGGTGTGAGTGATGCTAATAGGAAAGAAGCACAAGATTATGCATTCAGGATTTAGGCACTGAAATGGCTGCTCTTTCACAGAACCAAAGCTGAGTAGTGACAAGCAGTCAAACAGAATTTTGGCTGAACAGACTCACTACCTGAGGTGCCTGATTTATCACATTTGGTCAAAATGCGATGAGCTCATGTTTGGGCTGCACTGTTCCAAGTGCACCCAGGTAAGAGAGTCTCATTTTACAAAAAACTGCAACTTCAAATCTTTGGACAAACAGCTTCTTTGGGAATGTTCCTTCAGTTTGCTGCTCCACTCCTCACAAGCAGGATATCATGTGGCTAAATCCCAGTGCAGTATTAACTAATTTTGTTCCGAATATTTTCACCCTTCCAGTCATTTGACTTGGGTTTCTATTTTTGTTTGACAGCGCAGTCTGATAGATCAGGACTGGGGAACTTCCATCCTCTGTCCTGGAAATAATATGGTATGAATGGCTAAGAGTAATTTCACCCAAGAATTTTGTAGATCCAGTTTCTCTCCTGATGTGCAATCCAGTTTGGCTGATTTATGAGTCTGGTGCTTGCCTTGGTGGTGCAAAATCTGTGTAGTGTGATAAATTTGGCCCATATATCTGAGGAACCGAATTAAAAAATAGGTCTCAGCAGAACAGATTAATTTTATTAAGGACTGTGTAACTTTTGCATCACTGTGAAGTGATGCAGAAGGGTACATCTTAATATAAAGCATAGGAAGTGGCAGCATCCAAATATGATCTACATTTCACTTGATCAAAGACTTTGTGAAAAAATAATTAAAAAGTAAAAGCCTTATGCAATGAGATTTTAAAGAAAACTTTGGAGGCTGACAAGATGCATCTGGCACAACTTCAAAGTCCTTCAAAGTACATATAATCAATGTTTGTCAATAGCAGTTTTGCATCCTTTAATTTATCTTTCATGGGTATAAAGCACGTTGTTATTAGGATCCAGTCCATACTTTAATTCTGTTTGAGATCTGATGAATCAGGGCTCTATTAAAATTTAGTACACCTCATCTGAGTCAAGGACAGATTACATAAAGCTGCTCTTTATTACATGCCTTTTATCTTTCAGTCTTCCTAACTGGAGAAAGTTCCTGTATTTACAAAAACTTTTGTGACACTAAAAATCCAAAGAAATCTATATTATAGGGAAAGAAGTGCACCTTTATGTAAACATGCCTGTGTTAAGTGCTGTATGGGCAAGAACATAAATATGGACATGTTGCATCAACCTAATGGTCCAGTGTCTTGTTTTTGCCAGTGGAAAGGTTGGGATTTTTAGGAGTTCCAACACCACAGAAGAACCATTTTATTCCATACCATCCTTCCCCAACCTAATGTGTTCCAGATGGTCATGTCACCCAGGACTGGTGGTATTTGTAATCCAAAATGTCTAGAGGGAACTGGGTTGGACGAAGATGTTCTATGCCAATGGTATACAGAATGTATCCAGTGTAATTATAAGGTTCCTCAGAAGCACATTGAAAGTTCCTCCATGATAACATCACTAATACTGAATAAATGAAACTGAACAGAGCTCTCTCATTAATCTATTCCCTAAGAGTCAGAGCTCTGCCCTCCAGAGCACTAATTTGAATATGCTAATTTCAATCTAAAAGTCACTCTCTCTTTCTCTCTTTCCATGTGTGTGTTTTTAAAGGACTGTCCCTTAAGGACAGTCATATTTGTAAAAAGGAATACATGGAGAGTGGAAGGGAGAGCATTTGATCTCAGAAAAAAAGATTCAAAGGTGGGCAGCAGGAAGCGAAGCACATGTGGGCATAATCCAGATGCAACAGAGATCATTAGGGCCCCTGTAATTTTACTTCAGCAAGTCCCTAGGAAGGCAAGATGGTGGAGGAGAAGATCTCCCTGAGATTTGGAGCATCAAATGAAAGATTCATGTCTCCATCTCTAATGCTGTCCTCACTTTCAGCAGTTACTCATGGGCCTCTCACCATCGGATCACCCTTCTCTGGGCATGCTTCCATTTGTCATTGTCCTTCTTAAAAAGTGACACTTAGAACTTAACACATTATTCCAAATGTGACCTGGTTGGTACAGAAGAGTGTGGAACTGTTGCTTGTTATGATCTGGACGTTAATGCAGCCTAAGAATGCATTTACTTTTTGGCAGTTGTATTACAGTTTATGTTCACCATGGGATTAACTAGGACACTTAGATCCTTTTTTCAAGTGCTATTGCCAAGCCTGGCATCCCTCATTTATAGAATACCCTTTGTTTTCTCCATCTAAATTCAGGACTTTACATTTAACTCTGCTAAATCTCATCTAGTTGGTTTCAGCCCAGTGTGCCTACCTAGGAAGATTGTTTTGGACTTTTGAAAATAGCCATTCTTCCCAACTTCATGGCTTCAGAAACGTTAATAAGCACCTTGTCTCTACCCTAATCCCTGTCTTTCATTGAAAAGTGAACCACACAGACCTTGTTACATTCCTCTTGAGACTCCACTGCAGGTTGATGCAGAACCATTAGTAAGCACTCAGCAAGTTGCTCAAACATGTGTTAGTCCACCTTACAAGCTTGTCAAAAAGGATATCATGACAGTCTGTGTCAAACACTTTGCAGAAATCAAGATATACTCTATGACCATGGCATTTCTGTGAACTCTATCCACAAAAGGGGATGGGGGAATAGTCTAGTCTGGCATGACTTATTCCTAAAATCTAGTTGTTGCATTAGGATCTTCGCAACCTGATTTATTAGTCAGCCATTTGAACAGCCTTGGGATCTTTGGAATGGTCCTGTGGAAGTACAGCAAATTGTTACTTATTTGGCTTTGGATGGCCCGTAGACCAGCCAATGCTTCTACTTACTGTAGAAGCAATGTCTCTTTGATATTTTCACTAAATGTTTAATTAAAAGGTGTTATTTTATTTATTTATTTAAAAATTTCTATGTCGCCCCATTCGCCGAAGCCTATGTAGGCTGTCATGAATTCCCCATGAGCTGTAGAAAAGTAAGTGCAATCAAATCAACAAAACAATGTCAAATTTATGATGTAGCCAACCATACATTCTTTAGCATCAGCTTCACTTTCATAATCATTGACAACATTAAATTCAAAAAGCAAATATTTGATTCTATACAAAGTGGGAGAAAGAAATGCAAAAATTACATTTTTCATTCTATCCTTTGTCATCTGTCATCTATCTATGTTTAACATTATTAAGCAAAAAGGGAAATATTTTATACCCTTTAACAATCCTGCAGAAGTTGCATGATTCTTCATACCTCCAATGCAAACTGTGAAGCTAATAAAAGATCATTGTGTGGGTATAGGATCACAGCCTTAATCATACTAAATATTCAGTGTCAACAGAAAAGGAGAGAATAAATAAATAAATAAATGCTTTGAAATTATAATTTGACAAGTAAAAGAAGGGCTTAATATTAGTGGGATTGTGTCTTAGACCAAGGACAATAGTTAACCAATAAAATATGGTGAGTAGAAACAACTCCAGTCAACGTACTGAAACCAAATCCATCCAAATGAAAGAAATAAATCATGACAAATTAATGCATCTGTTAGATTGTTCATGGCTGTTCATAGTACTTGATTGCTCATTGCTTTAGCTGTTTAAAATTGTTTTACATGTTATATGTTTTAATTGTATTGCAATTTTCTTGAGTCTTTATAAAGAAAGCAAATGAGAAAATGCAGTGATGAGGGTGGTGATGCTTTCTCCCTCAACATTTGTCTCTAAGAAGACTCACTTTGAAAAAAAATCTGGCAGTGTTACTTTCTGGATCAGGATGATGAAAACTGAAACTGGAGTTAATAATTTGCAAGGCGCAAACTTGTTCTTTGACTATTTAGGTTGACTTAACTGGGAAAAAATCACCAAACAGGGAAAGTCTTATTCACAAAACAGAAGAAATCTGTGTTAAAATACGATGTTCATTTGTTTTGTCTATCTACCAGTCTTTCCTCTGATTATCTTTCTTGGGAATACTCCTGTTTGTGTAAGTACAGCTATTTAAATGTCTAACTGAAATAGGTTGATGAAATTACATCATAACTGTATTAGACTACTGGCAATGCTGAGCATTATGCCAGCAATTGAGGGATGTATTTAGCCTGGAATTTTACATGCTTAATCAGAACATTACAAGAAATACATGTTCTGCTAAGAACACAGAAAGAAAGAGTCTGCTTGAAAAGGGACTGGACATTTTAACCATGAAAAATTAGGAAACACATGTTTGACTTTGGCCATTTTATTTCCTGTCCCTTCCATAATGTCCTTTCTTTCCCTGTTCAAACTGAGAGGAAAAAGAGACTGTATCCATGAATGGACCTATGCTAATTTATTTCCCATGAGCAAGTTGTGGAAGGATACACCTTGCTAGCTGGAATCCAAATTTCATGCAAATATTGTTAAGAAAGGGAGCGAGGGAGGGAGGGAGAATATTTTTTTCCTCAGAAAATTCATTAAGGTTGCTATGCAATGCAGTTCTGATGTCACCAAGAAAGAACACGCTAGAACTTGAGGGCTTTTTTTTAAATAAGAAGTTGTTTTATAATAATTAATAGGAACTTCTTGAAATAAATATGAGGGGATATAGTGTTGTGATTGTTCCATGGCAAATTTTAAACACATTGTTGTTATGAGGCTACACGCAAAAAAATATTATGACTTTTTTGGCTACATATTTTTACTATGCCAGAAACTGCAGGATAAGGAGGGTCAGGGAAATGGATAAAGCATGTACTTCCACTCGATTCATGGGGAATGGGGAGGCCACCAAAATGGGCAGAGAGAGAGAGGAAGAGAGAGAAGAGGTCTTCACTCTGCTTGACTGAACATTTGGAAAGTAGCTATTGCATTGTGAACCTTCACAGTGGAGAAACACAACATCGCAGCTGAATTCTGCCCGGTACATATTTCTAAATGTTATGGAATACCTACTGGTATTCTAGGTGAAGCCAAGCAAACTGAAGTGTATTCTAGACAAGGTGGAAGTATTGTTGGCTGAAAAATTAATTGTCTAGAAGTAGGAGCATTATGGTCTGGACAGGATTGTATTTCCCCAGAAGCAGCAGGCTTCTAACTTAGTATCCGAGGTCAGTTCCCCATACTGGAAACTGAGCACTTTGAGACCAAACTGAAGGCATGGCAGTGCAGAACCTGAGCTGTAGAACAGGGCAAGGTGTCAGAGTGACAAGACAAGTCAGTGCACTCAATCTGTTTCTCAGATGTGCTGGGGGGCAAGGGTGAATTGTGGTCTCCGAAGCCCCACAATGAGTTTCTTGCAGGGTTCAGGCCAGATTGACTCTTAGGATCCTCTTAAATCTGACCTGCGCATGGATGCTCAGGTAGTAATATCCTTTCCTAGGAATCTGACCCGGCCTCAAGTCATTCCTGCTGCAGCTTGAACAACTCTCAGTTCATGTATGCAGCTTGGGTAGCCATTGCCCATCAGCTGGACACTGTGAAAAGATCAGGGTTTCAGCCCTGCTATGGGTTGCGGGACAACGATATTCATCAGGATCACTGAGAGAACCCTTTTTCCGCACACTTCAGTGATGTCCATGCACTGAGGTTGCTCCTTCCCCAGCACCAATAGTTGCACTGGGAACACCAGTCTTCATTTGGATTGCTGCGGTGAGACTTTAATTTCTTATGCAATCCTTATGCAGCAAGGCTGCTCTGTGTATAACAGCATGGATAAGTGTGAGTTTCGGGGCAGAGTGAAGGTAAGTTTCCTCTACGGGTGTTCATGCATCAAGGTGCACACACGTGCGCAGCCTCAGATCTATCCAGTGCCACAATCAATCCTCAACAGCAAAAAGGATTGCCCATTCCTGCTGTACACACTGCAGATTAGGGTACTGTAATGCACTCTGTGTGAGCTTGCATTGAAGACAGTCCAGAAGCATCAGCTGGTTCCTAATGAGGCTGCCAGAATTTCAGTAGCTTGGCTGTGATCATAAAGGAGAGCTGGACATGGAGAAAAATGCTAGCGCCTTCAGTCTGCAAAATTAAGCAGGAGAATGGAAGTTTTATTCCCCTGCCCTGCATGCCCCTATGTGTGTAAAAAATAAAGAAGGGGATACATTCATTCTGTTCCCATGTTAATACAAACTGACAAGTTGCACTTCTCAAGTTAATATGTAAACAAGTCTGCAATTACTCTTCAGTTTTCACACCTCTCTGAATTTTGCAGTGTAGTTCTCCAATCAAGATTTGTGTTAAAATCCATACATTAGGGAATGTTGCATGCAACATTGGGTCGTGAAACCAAATGCCATGCAAGAGACACATGTTAGGGGAGGATGCATGCAGAAAAGGAGTACATTAAGGAAATGCATGTGAATGTCCACGCATATGAAAATGCATATAAAAATATGTGCAAATTATTGTGCAAGGTTGTGAGATTTTAATAAACCTCATCATAGCCAAAAGTCTCAGATGTGGAGGAGGAGGATCAAATAGACAACCTGATGGAAAAGTTGTGCTTGCAAAAGTGTTAAAAGTGATTTAACTGTGAATGGGTGAATACATCTTTAACATTAGTAATTGTTAATTAGAGACTAATTGTTAATTAGTCTCTACTAATTAGAGATGTTAGTAATTGGACGGCATACAAATTTTATAAATAGATAAATAAATCATACACAGAATTGCCCCATGCATCTAGTTTGGCCTAATTTTTTTAGGGTTCTAAGTACTGTATATCCTCCATACAAATTAATAAAATGTGTGAGCCCTTAACACTTGCATGATCTACCAAACATCTGTTCTGTGCATGCACGAAAACGTCTTCACTTCTGCTGCACTGTAACCTGTTAGCCTCTAGGGAGGAAAAGCAAGTTGCCAATTCAGCATAGTTCATTGATCAAGGGAACCTGAGATGCTCTTTTTACAGGATGGGCCTGGGTCTGCCTGAAGCTACAGGATTGCAAAATGCCTTAGCTAGATGCATTAGCAAATGTTGCACTGATCTCTCAGAGAGTGAAAAATTCTTTCTGACCCCTGAAGGCAATCAGCATATGCCCTGAAGCATGAGAGTTCCCTTACAGCTAAAGAGGCTTAATGGGTTTCCATAAGCTTTAAGTCGAGCTGCATAACCTGCATTCTCAGCACAGATAGAAAAATGTGTGATGATGCAAAAATCATATGTCAGACTCATTGGAGGACCTGCCTTTGCAATGGTGACTGAACAGGCTTTGCTGTCCTGTCTGTACATGGAATCTGGCCTGGAGAAGAGACCAAGCGCATGGACTCAGCTGAGATGGTGCAATCTGAAATGCTGTACAGTCTCTGTAGAACAAGAGAGGAGTAAGAGAGGGGCAAAATCTGAGACCTGGCAGCCCTACTATTCACAGGATTTTAAAAACAACCATTTCATTACTTCAGCACCTATAAAAAGTGCTTTTGGCAGGGGAAGGGGGAAGAAGTTGTTAAACCTCAAAGAGGCAGTAGTAAACAGCAAAAAGGGAGTACTGGGCCATTCCAGGTAGTTCAAGAATAAGAACTGTGTTTAAGGAATCATCATGGCAGCTCTGCTCAGATTGACCTTGCAGGACTTATCTGCTTTCTGTCAGAAGTGGCAGGCAGCTGGTACAGTCCTTTCCACACCAGGGTCAAGGGGATGGGCTGAGGTCCTGGCCTTTGGGGTCTACAAGGACACAGAACCTTGGATGTGGACTCCAAAAATCACAGGGCTCCAATAATTTCCATGATGTACCTGCTCCAAATAGGATTGAACTCTTAATCTACAAAATGCTGGTATGTTTACTTTGGCCCCATCCAGCACTGGATAGCTTAACCTTGAGAGCTGATTTTAGAGGGCAGATTTTACTTTAGAGAAGCTCTGAGGAAACATGTTCCAGTGTGGGCAGGGAAGCACTCTTTGGGGTTAATTTAGGTAGCAACACGTCTTGGACCTACTCTGATTTGTTGCTTCCTGTGCCCTCAGTAGTGTCAGGCAGGGCTGATCCAAGGCATTTTGGGACCTGAGACAAGGAGCAGAATGTTGCCTTTTCCTTATCCCAAGTACAGAAGTTGCTTGGCTTATTTCCAATTGGGATAGTGTTTCCCACTCCATCTGGAGAAGCAAGTTGGTTTAGGAGGCCCAGGACAGATTATGTAGCATGCATGCTTTTGATGCCTGACAGAGAAGAACAGCTAAGAAATTAAGGTGGAACAGCTCATGACTGCCAGTTCTACCTGTGGACTTCCCACTGGCAACTGGTGGGCCACTGTGTAGACAGAGCACTGTATTAGATAGAACTTCTGAGCCAGCCATGCTCTCATGTCCTCCCCAGTATCTGCTATCTGAAGCAATTGGTTCACTGAACCTACCGGTCAGGATTACCCTGATGTCAAAATTCAGACAGAAGGAGCCCCTCTCCTCTGTCCTTTTATCACCAAGACCAGGAATGGTTGGAGCAGAAATGTAAATCTGTTTTAACTGAGCTTCTTCTTCCATAGCTCTCTTCTTTGTTTACACTGTTCTTTTTCATTCTGGAAAATATGTGCTTGTTATGAGTGAAATGCTGGGAGTATTTGGACAGAAAGAAGTCCTACAATTCCTAATGTGCTTGAGCCTCCATGGCTGGCTGAAGAGATGCGAGGGCTAATGCTGGATAAGATAATCTGCAACAGCTCCTTTGGGTCTTTCCCTCCCCAGCCATGCTGTTCTCTGCTTGCTCTGTGATATACCTGGGGCCATGATCCAATTACAAAGATTGGAGAGCGGTGAAGGAGGGAGAACTGGCAGTGGATCCACACTTACCTTATCTCCAGCCACAGTGTGGGATTTAAAGCTCTGTGAATGTTCTCACGCTTTGAATCCCACTACTCTAGGCATGGGGAATTTCTGCAAGGCTGTCTTAGTCAGGGAAAATGAGTCCATCAATGAAACATTTTGTTTCACTGTAGCTCTGTAGATTTTTGGTGAGCTTTGTTTCATCGGTCGCATACTTCTTGCCATCTTTTCATAAGCCCTAACCAGTAGCCTGACACACAGAGATCAATCATGCAACAGTTTGTCCCCTCCTTGTTCTTTTGCTCAGAACAATTTTGGACAATTTTTGTTCTATATTTCTATGCAACTGCCTGGTAATAAAATGAATGCTCAGAAATGTTCAAAGAAAAAAAGAAGGAAAGGAATGAAGTGGTAGTCTAATTTGGATGGAGGCAGGCTAATAAAAAACAAATAAGGATTACTTCTAAAGAAATATATATAGCATTAAATTGCCCTGCCAAGTTGCTTTCAGTCTTTCAATATTTTACCATTTCTTCGATGTGTGAAGAAATGACTAGGATATACGTAACTGTTCTTACTCTGTAAATATTCTGGGTGTTTTTAAAATATCAGTGAAGCCTTGAAGCTGAGCGTTGAAGTCTGTGTTGAAGCTGCTTGGTGACATTCTGCAGGGACAAACAGGGAGACAGTTGCTTGCAATACTTTTAGGTGGGCCTGGATCAGGTAAATTCTTTTTTGATTGGCTGGGGATGAAGATGGGTGGAAAAGAGCAGTTGGAAAATAAGAGTTGAGAGTTAAGGAGCAGACAGTTAGGGATCAGCTAGCTAGAAGAAAGTCTGCTGACAGGCAGGTGCTGTTATAACAGGACTAAGGGAAGGGTGAGGAGAAAGTGAGCTTCTAAGGCCTGGATATTAAGCTATTTCTTTATCATCTTTGCCTCCCTGCATCTCCCACTCTGCTTTTGGCTATCTGGCTGAGGACTTTGGAGGAAGCAAGAAGGAGCTGGTAGTGCCATAAGCTGGTGGCATCCCTCCATCCCAGTCCCTTTACCCCCTCTCTGAAGCTGATTTCCTGACCCTGGAAAGGGGGTTGGAGCAGTTCTTTCCTCATCCATTGCTAAGGGGATGAGGATTGAAAAATGGATTTTAAGCTCTGAGGCTGGAGCAGTTTCTTTGCCCTTGGATGTAGAAAGATAATTATCCAATGATATCTAGGTTTGTGTTCTCCAAGAATGGTAGGAGAATCACTTCTTCAGAACTACCAGTAAGCAGTAAGTCCTTTACAAACCTCAAAGTAAATATCCATTTCCCCTTATACAGAATATTCCTGTACACAGCAGCTTAATAGTTAATCTTGTCTCTAGTGGGCTGTGACCATCTTGTCCTAAACTGCTAGACGTTTTTAAAGAATTCTAGGGGAATTGATGACATCTGAAAAGGTTCATCTACTGTAACTCTGAGTTGTAGTAGCTAGAAGTTTGTTCAGCCCAGAATGTAAGCATTTGCTAAGGGTCTATTCAGTCTAGGAGCAATTTCTCTATTAGCAGTGACAGTGCTGGAGAGAAATCCACCAGAAGTGTCAATCTATTTTCCTTTTTTGCAAATCAATTCTTATTCCTGCAATCTAATTCTAGTAGAACAAATGCACCTGTAATTTCAAATAAACAAACATAATTATCCATTATTATCCTTGAATGAAACATGGTTAGGAAGCAAATCTCACTTGTCAGTAATACTGGCAATAAAATTTAAAGCAATGAATCAGCAATAAAATCTAAGATGTTACCAATTTTATTCTCAAGAGATTTCAGTGTAAGGGCTCCAGAAGACCAGTACTCCAGCAAAAGGTCATAACATTAAGCAATGTTCAAAGGGTCAATGTATTTAAACTATCACATTGACTAAATGATTACAGATTTTTAATAAGATGACACAGACTTAGAGCTGTGGAAGTGCTAGGGGAATTTCTCTGCATGTTAAAGTATTTAAAGTTTTATAGGTTACACATGTAGCCTTTTTCCCCTCCCAAAAGATTCTTACTCTAGTCTACATGCAGCAGGCAACACAGCTGGACATTTTGTAAGATGGCTTTCACCGATGCGGTGCCTTATAAATCTGTGGAATGGTGACTTAGGTCATTCCCAGAGAGCAATGCCTACGGCTGTGCTGACTGAGGATGATGGGGATTGTTTTCAGGAGGGCAACAGGCTGGGAAAGGCTGCCTTAAGGAACCTCTGTCCCGGCAGTGTTGCCATAAACTTGTGCATTCAGCATTCAAAAAGGTCAGAAATAGTAGGAAATTTTTGACTTCCATGTGGTGTGATGTCTTGGAAAAGGGCAGCATGGAAATATATTAGCTGACTGAATAGAATAACCCTGGAAACAACACAGTTGCTCTCAGTGTTGTTATATTTATCTGTTTGCATCCTGCAGACAAAAATATAGACAACTTTCAGATTTAAGAAAGGGCGTAACACTAGCTATAATATCTGGCATCCTTTAGCTCAAGAGCAATGTGATTTGGAAAACACACACACAAAGTTATCAGGGGAAATGTCAAATTATGCCATTTTCAATGAAATTTCAAAATATTCAGTTTAGACTCCAGGTTCATGAATGTTATGCAAATCATTTTCAAAACAGCCTCGTCTTGCACTTTTGAACTAAAAATGTTATTGTTGACTTTGGAAGGAAGTATTTTAAGGGAACAGATCTATGCATGTGTAGGCAGGAAAAAAAGTCTTACAAATCGCACTATCCCTCAGCTAGCTATGAGGATTTTTTTCTTTCTAAAGATGCATACGAAGTACCCAAAATAAGCTTCCTGTGAATTTTCTCTAACTTGTAAATAAAAGATGTTTCTGCTTTCTGTACAGATTTTTTGTCATTTTAGTCCTTGGATAATATGAGGCTTCTATCCATACTGGAGAGTAGAAACAATTATTTTTTGTGAAATAAATAAATACCAATATATATTTTCACTTCCATTGAAAGGCAAGCCCTCCCTCTTCTGGCTATGTAGAATATAACAGGCCAAAGGAGGGAAAAGAAAATGGCAAAATAGCACACTTTAAATTGTAAGAAAGAAAAAGAATACAGTATTATGAAGATGGAGCGGATGACCTCAAGAGTAGTCTAGTCCACTAGACTGTTGTTATATCTATTATACACATGCAAGATCTGCCACAAAATGTTGCACTGTGGAGTGGTCCAGAGTTCCAGCAATACTATCTTTCCAAGATGCTCTTTTCCTTTCTTCCCTAATTTTCTTCCCACAGTCATTCCTTGCCAGATGAATTTGCACTGCCCATTTTGAGCTGTTTATGAGTATTTTCCAGGCCTAAATTATTTTTGCACTTCTGTAAATTTTGGAGTTCCCTCAGGCTGGCTGATAATTCTCTTTCATGTGGTGGATGGTGCTGTTTAGGCCCTTGGAGAATGAATTCTGCATAAGAGTTTCATAAAGGCAAAACATATTGGTGGTTATTGCTAAAAAAAGTTCTTCTAAGCCTCCCTTCCTAGGTCTCCATATTCCATATCTGGCAGGAAGACTTGATGGATCCTATTTATTTTGGGAATTGTTTTTGTATTTTAGATGAAGAGAGCAGTATATACTGTAAATAGTTGTACATAAATATATCCTTGAAAAATACAACACATTTTAATTACAATGTTCAGACACTTCCATTTTTAGATAATTCAAACTAGATTTTCAAAATTAATTGCTGTTTGTTCCCTCCCTTAAAATAATTTCTCAGACATTTGTAAGTCTCATGCTTTTTATATAACATTATAAAAGTCCTTTTTATTTTATTTTTGTTTTGTTTTCTTCATGCAGCTTTCTGGTATCCTGACATCATGGCTTGATCCACAAACTGGTAATCAGTACATATTTTCCTTTGTGACAAATATTTCATGATGTGTGCATTATTGTTTAAGGATGCTACAGCATGATTGAGCAAGGTTAAACATAGACTTGATTTTAAGCAGAGGAAGAATCCTCTCATTCTCTCATTTTACCTCCTGTTGCTTGTTATTTTCTATCTTGGAATGGTTCAGACAAATTTTATAAAGGACTCAAGAGTATATGCTAGTAATATAATATAGATTTCCTCAAAATTGTGGCTCTACTTCACTGTAGTAAGAAATACATTGCAGTGGAGAGTGACTTTAAAATTGACTTTCTCAAGCTTGGGCAGCCAGTTGTTGTTAGTTCCAGTCAACAGGGTCAATGGATGAAGCTGATCAGAGTTTTAGGGACCCAGGCTGCACTAAAACAAGTGCATGCATTTTGGATTGGGGATGTCAACCAAAACTCAGAATTAATCTGCTTGTAAGTCAAATCTACTAGATTCTTCATTTTTGAATCGATAAAAGGCCTGACTTTATAAATTAAATCATAATTTCTGCAGTCTGTGCGTTGGCATGACAAAGAAGACAAATTCCACTGTCTGCACATGCTGAACTGTTTGTTGCTATAACCCTTTTATTTTGGAAAGAAATGAAGAGGTCTAATCTTATAATGCAATCGCATAATGCAAACACAGAGAGAGGGGTACCCACATGTGCAAATTTTTGTGCAAGGTTGTGTGAGGTTGCATGTTTAAAAGAAAGCTACTGACCTGGAAAATCCTGAGAGTGGTAAGGCTTATGTCTGTCTAAACATGCAAAGAATTGTGTCTTTAGCTATTTTTGCCAAATGTTTGAAAACTATACAACAAGAAATCATGAGATGCATTTTTGTCACTCTTCTCCTTCCACACCCTCTAGTGAATCTACTATGTTGATCCACTGTTGTAATCAAAGCACATGTAATAATAACAATGCCTTGTGTTGGCTACTAAATAAGCATGTTGTGTTCTCTAGATGTACTTTAGCACTGTGCGTGTACAAAAATCTGGAGATACTTTGAAATCCCAAAGGAAGTGTTACATGAGTTTATAATCCTGGATTTAGAGCTCAGTGAGCAATTCTGAATTATAAGCAGCTCAACTATTGCTAGTCGGAATATCAACTACAACACACTTACTTTTGGATAATCATGCATCTGATAAACATGTATTTCCAAGACATCAGCAGAGGTTTGCTGATGTACTTCCTTCGGTAGATCTTTCAAAATGGGCAAGTCAGCATGAAAGAACAATAAGTCTATGAATAAAATTAATCTGTGAAAGAAAATGCAGAAAAAATACTACCATTGGGAAAAAGCCAGCAAGGTGAACTATCTGTCATAACTAGAAAAAGGGGAATAATTTTGCACAAGCTCCTGAGAATAGAAATCTGAAAGAAAGTTATAGTGGAAATTCCAGCAAAACCAGTGTTTGGATTTCGGACAAGACCAGGCAAATCTAAACTCAGAAAAGAACATGTTAAATCACGTCACAAAGGTTAAGATTTAACAGATGCCAACACTATTGCAGAACAAAATGAAAAGGTGGACCTGAATATCTAATTAAATAGACCATTAAATAGAATAAATTAACAGTACCACAACAACTAGGCCCAGTGAGGAGGAAATTGTCATCAATCAACACTGTCATAGTGTCCTTCTGACAATCCTAGCTGGAGCTTAAACTAGCTAATTTGTTCTAAGCCCTATGTATTATCATATTCAGAAGCTGAACTGTGACTCCTGTTTTTCTACCAACACATAGAGCACCCACATAAGAGTTGTGCAGTGTTTGCCTGTCTCTTAGCAAGATAGATATGATTTTCCATGGCACCTTACCAAGCCCCTGAATTTCACACCCTGCCCTGGCTATCTTGAAGGATTCCTTTTCAGAAGAGGAAGAGGACTTGCCCCTGGCCCAGGACTTAAGTTCAGCAGATGAAGAGGACCTAACCTTGGCCTGGGATTCTCCTTTCCCTGGGGAGTTAGAGGGAGGAACCCAGGACACATCTAGACAGACATCAGCCGTGGAGCAGGACCTCCACAGTAGAAGCTTGCCGTTTCTTCTCTGATGCAGGAGATTGTGCAAGCCAAGCCATAGGAGGACCCACCTCCAAGCCAGATCTCCCCAGTTCTAATCCAATACCCGAAGCACAGCACTCACTGATATTTCCTACTGTGAAAGTTATGGAAACTCTATGCACAGTATGTTTCATCCAGGGCAGTGAAGTGCTAGCTGAAAGGTTTAGAACAAAAGAAGGCATTGTACTTCCCTTTCTTTTTTTAAGAGAGAAAAGTAATCCTGCAGTTTTGTGTATGGGGGACATCTCAATTCAGCTATGTGTATTCGTAGGGCAGTCACTTTCCTTTCATGTTTGGTGAAGGGACCATAGCTCAGTGGCAGAGCACTTGCTTTGCATACAGAAGGTCTGCCCCAGGGCTGGGAAAGTCTGAGCTCCTGGGGAGGCATTTCCAGTCATTCTATACATAAGAAGATAAAAAGAGCCACTCTGGGTTGGACCAAGTATCCATCTAGTCCAGCGTTCTGTCCACACAGTAACCAATTAACAGCCCATAGGAAACAGCATTCTCCTGCCCACATTTCTTAGCACTGAAGGCAATATAGATGCTGCCTTTACTTCAGATAGGGCACATAGCATATAGTCATCAGGACTAGTAGCCTTCTCCTTCTCCTTCTCTCCCTTCTCCTCCAGGAATTTCTCCAATCCCTGTTCAAAGCAACCTAAACTGATACCCAACCTGAATCTCCTACTGACCTGCTTCATGGGATGAATCTATGAGAGGGAGATCTATGTGCCTCCATTATGAGAGAAGGAACAATATGTGTCTTTATCCACTTTCTGTGAGCCATACCTCTCTCATATCTCCTTTTACTAGCCATTTTTCTAAACTAGCGATTCCAAATGTTGTAACCTTCCCTGCAAGTTGCAAGGGAAAGTGCTGCAGCCCCATGAGCATTTTAGTTGCCATTTTCTCCACTTTTTCCAAAATCCCCTTTTAGGTGCAGTGACCGAATAGTGGTCCAAGTGGGGCCACACCACAGATTTGTTTAGGGGCAGTATGATGTAGACTTTTCCCCGCAGTTCCTTCCCAAATTATGCCTAGCATGGAGTTTGCCTTTCTCACAGTGGCCACACACTCCATTATCATTTTCACTGAGCTGTCTGCCACTACCTCTAGATCTCTTTCTTGGTCAGTCAAGACTAGTTCAGATCCCAACATCTAATACATGAAACTGGGTTTTTTTTTTTGTCTTAACTTGCATAACTTTATACTTGTTTACATTAAAAATTATTATAATCATTTCTGTCATTGTTGTTGTTACATGTAACCGACCTTTCTTTCTCGTGCAAGAAGCCCAAAGTGGCTTACCAGATTTTCCTCCTTTCCATTTCATTCTCACAACAACCCTGTGGAATTGACTAGACTGAGAGTCTGTGACTGTCCCAAAGTCACCAAATGAGCTCCATGGCTTAGTGGGGACTAGAATCCAGATCACCTTGGTCCTTGGTCCAACGTTGTAACCATTGCACCGCCCAGGCTTTCACACATATTGGCTATTCTTCCAGTTTGGAAAGATACTTTTGGGATACCACATAATCGCTGCTTGTTCCAACTGTCATACATAATTTGGTGTTATCAACAAACTTGGCTGCTTCCTTGCTCACTCCTAACTTCAGACCATTTATGAATCAGTTGAAGATCATAAGCTGAATGGCTAATACTGAGCTATAGCACTTAACGCTATGTATGTATAAGGTGTGTTCCTACATACAGGGGGAATCCAATATGAATATCTCAAACTGAAAACTCTGAAAGTTGTTAAAGCCAAGATCATCCACATAACACATTGTGAGATGTGACAGAGGCTCTCTATGCATAGGTGGTTATTTGCTCTAGAATAGAGTCCTTATATATAAGCGAACAGTTCAGCGGATATTGATCAGAAATTCACTAATTGATTCTCAGCTCCCAGCAACATACAAAAATGTAGATGAAAGGATAAGCAGTTTAAAAGATCATCCAAACCTCAAAGCCAATTTCAAGCTTTTAAAGTCAATCTCTGCCTATCAACTATGGGGTAAAGAGGAGGGTCTTTTTGCACTACACAGACAAAAGTTATGCTTTGAAAATACATGTAGGATGTCTCATTTAATTTTGTGTAATAGTCACTTTTCAGTGACAAATGTCAGATCACTGCATCTTTAAATGTGTTAAGATTTTTCAGCATTTACAAAGAATGAAGGCTCTGATTTTGTAATATGTTGAAATAAGCCCATGTATCAGAATATGTGCATTAATTATGTGCTTAGATTTTTTTTCAAATGTTGCTTTTACTTTACTAAACCGATGGCTTGTTATGAATAATTTAAATGAATGGAAGAGAGGCGCTTCTTAAATAAAAGAAACAAGATCCACATGGTTATTTAATGCTGAGAAATAAATAAAGAAGAGCGTAACAAACAATGAAACAGCACTAATTGATTTCTTAATTGCATCAGTGATTAACCATGCAGATAGAATGCTCACCTCAGTATGGAAATACATTTCACCTTTCATTGCATTATAAAAAGATAACTTCAAGTTAACGTCATTTCCCAGATTTACGACATAGTCCACATAAAATGTAAACACAGAAGCTAATACTCTAATCCTAAACATAAAAAATCATAAGAAATAAATCATAGGAAAAGAAAAAGTGGGATATAAATATAACAAATAAATAAATACATACATACACTTATTAGGGAGTAAGTTTTACTTCTGATAAAGAATAATCAGGATTGTACTAAAAGGTTATCAGTCAGTGTGCACATTATCTAATCCTGAAACATTATCAAAGTTATTTCAAAGAAATGAAACAAAAAGGAAAATGCCCCCAAAAATGAAGGAAAAGACAATTGTGAACAGAGTTCATGTTATTTGCTTTTTCACCTTAGAAATCAGCCTTAGAATTACGGCACACTT